GGGGGTTATGACATTATGATAGGCACTTGGTACAGCTAGTCCAAGCAGGTTTCAATGGAACTAAAAATCCACCCAAGCATAAACATCTTATATAGAAAAATTGTGTGCGGTGAAATTCTACGTCCTTAAATCCACTCTGACTTCTGACAGGTTTATACCCGTAGATAGGAAGTATGAATTTTTTATTAACTCATCAACCAAGTTATCATTACATAAGAGGGTGAAAGTGTGAAGAGAGAATTTAATCCCAATTTAGCAGAATTATTATCCCTAGGCATAGTTAGTCCAAAACTACGTGCCCAGTTTCATGTAGCTCTTCGGCTTGTCTAATCAAATACCCATCCCTCTATTGCCTAGACAAAATGATATTTGAGTCTGCCAATTGCTCTATTTGGGTATTGGGGGTTGTCTCCATTGGGTGCTTCTGCCACTATCTGACAGCTACCAAGCCTGCTCTCGAGCCCCATTACCAAGCCATATCTTACTGAAGTAAATTTACTTTTAACCATAATTATATCAATGCTTATCTTGTCTAGGGAGCTTCAATCACTTTTGACCTCTTCGGCACCTTGAATATTTGCGATATGGTGCTATACAGTCTATTAGTACCGATTTCACTATCTAAAAATGATCGACTCACCGATCCGATTGTCAAGGAACACAATTTGTATAATAGTAGGCCCATTAAGAATTATGATATAGGCTAAGTTGAAGACTGAAATAACAGGGCTTTTGTTATGTCATAGGCATGAATGCTTCAACGTATCCTTTTTATGTCTTCCTAATCAGCCATGGCCCTTCAATGGACCTACATCTCAGCCATAAAAATTAATTTTCAATTGCTTGCAATCAGAAAACTTTTTTATAGGCAAGGCAAGCAAAACGCAATTATATACTTTGGTCCTTTGCTATTTTGATAGGAAAACTTATTTATCAGATTTCCCATCATCAAAGGGTGATTCTAATGAATATCATTAACATGATGCGAGGAAAGCTGGTACTAATATCAATTGTTGTTTCTTTTTTTGTATTTCGCTCTTAGCATGCGGATAGTTTCATTGCTGGTACATTAAATATTTCCCCGTAATTTGTCCACATAGCAATAGGCTCACATTCATGCTTATTTTACTTTATTGTATGTCAATCTATAACAATATTATGGACATCATGCATAACTAATAACCTTATTCTTCACAGCTTTGCAAATCAGAGCTTTGACCAAACATGATGATTTTTTTTAAATAGTTAAAAGTAAAATATTTTTTATTCATTATATGCTTTTTAGTGACTTAATCTTATTATTCATCTGTCATATAATCTTGGTTTCTTCCAACTAACTACTGCCAAAAAATGATTACCTATATCCATCTGTCATAGGTACCCTCCAAGTCTGGTCTGTCATTAGATCAAGTCGATGATCATTCTCTCCTGCCTGCTTTTGGCGATGCTGAAGCTAATGAAAGCCCATCCGCATTGAAACTTATTAAGGCACTTAATCCGAGCCCGCGACATACTTGGCTCTCTGAGCTCTCTGATCATTGCGTTGCTGAGACCACCACTGATAACTTTACTCGTCAGAGTGGACTAGGATCGAGTGAATCACCTCGAATCAGTGGCGCGCTTACGACGTCCGAATCACACGCTAGTCCTGATTCGCTAATCCGAGGCCGTGGTCGTGGCCGAGCCCGTGGACGCGGGGTCCGTGGATCTTGGTCCAGAGGCCGAAGTGTATCAGTTGGACAAATACCTCCCGAAACTGGAGCATTTTCACTCCATTCTCAGATGACGCATCCCGAGAAAGCCGAATCTATTGGACTTGAGGCAGCATCCTTACATGGGGAATCCGGACCCGAGAATGACAAGGAGTTGGGGGTAGATGGCCCACTAAGTGGATATTCTCAGACAAGACCTGGCCGGCCTATTGGTTCAGGAACTTGCCGTCGAGGACGCCGAGAACTGGCCATTGTTGGGGCTTCTTCGGTTGGTCCTTCGGATTTAGTCCTATCTGATCTTGAGATTACTTCGGCCAGACGACGGCGCCAGGTTAATGCTTTCCATGCATCGGCGCAAGCTGAGTCAACGCTATGTACCGAGGGAGCTGGTGGACTGTCAGACCCTCCCGTGGGTCCACAAATGCAGTTGGAGCTCAATGGCGGTATTGCTGGTAATTAGAGAAAAATAGCTCTGCATTTTTCTAA